CGCCTGCCTTTGAACATGCCGATGTTCTTTGGGGTCTGCCTCCTTGGTGTGATGTGTCCTTCGAGATTCTTCCCTCCTCGACTCTCCCCGCTCGACCTCGCTGAAAGCCGGTGAGAGTGTGTCACGACCCAAACCCGCCTCTATGGGTTTAGCACCGTAACCGGCCAGTAATCCAAAATTACCGAAGGCCTGCTTAACAGTAATACTGTAAAACAGAGTACAGGGGCCTGGCGGAAGTCAACACAGTAAATAAACAATGTCCAATGAGCTGTGACGGTCTGTATGCAAAAGACTTTTTCATACCTATATGCAGTTAGTGACAAACAGTATGTACATATATACAATCATTCAGTCAATACAGTTATACAAAACAGATACAGAGATAGACTGGGAATTTAAAACACCCCTAAGCCATAACTTGGCAGGCTCGGAACCTCGTAGTGAGGCACAGTAGTTGGCTCGACAAAAAGGGGAGTCTAACCCACGCTCCTAGCTCCGGTCTGGTGCCTGAACACCTACATATATATATAAACAGTGAGCTAAAGCCCAATGAATAACACAATGCGTAAAGAGGTTAAGAATGAATATCATTACAGTAATGAAAACAGTTCATTGATTCAGTATATCAGTCATTCAGTTATATATGGTACACTCATTAGCATAGCAGTACAGTAAACAGTAGGTCTTAAAAGACCGAGCAGTCAATGATGGCCATCAGTCAGTAAACAGTAGTGGTTCCAACAAGGGAACCGACAGAGATCTCTGTAACAGTAACAATAAACAGTAATTGCTAAGAATGCCACAATACAGTTCAGAATATAGGACATACATTCATTCAATTAACAATATCAGTTCAGAAAGCAGTACAGTTCAATTGTTCAGAAGATAACCATTTTGAACATATCTTTACACAGTTGTTACTCACAGAGTTCTGGGTTACAGTAAAGCTAGAGCGCGTCCCCAGTCGCCAACCCTACACAGTTACAGATTGAACACACAGTAAGCTACACAGTTGGGAAAGATAACAACTTAATCTCTAATTTTCCTCGGTGTGTTCTACATCTATATTATCATTAAGATGTCTTAAACTAGGCCTAAGAATGCCTAGGATGGGATGAGGATGCAAAGATGCACTTTAAAAGTATTTTCAGAATTTTCAGAAAATAGGAGTCACGCTCGAGCGTATGTTACTCTACTCGAGCGGGCATGCAGACAAAGGTTTTTGCTCGAGCGTAGACTTACCCGCTCGAGCGTTCTGCAAAACAGTCAAAAATGCTGGATAGGTGAAAATCAAGCTCGATTGGGCGCTCGACACCCACTCGAGCATGAGACATAAAGTCCCGCTCGAGCGTCAATCATTACGCTCGAGTGGACTTCAAAACAGTGCAAAGTACTGGGAGCACGAATTTCACGCTCGAGCGCCAGTCACCCTGCTCGAGCGTGAGTTCAAAATCTGAAATTCCCAGATTTGAACCTCAAGCTCAAATTCGACTTTTAAAACATAAATTTCGATCCTCTTGGGCCAATTTTCCAGAAAACATCCCAAAACTCATAGTTTAACATGATTTCAAAGCTCAATTGTAAAATCAAAGCCCAAGGGTGTTTCAAACAACTCAATTTCAAACCAATTTTTCATGAACATGCTACAACCAAGACATGCATGAAATCCAAATCATTTCAAAGCTTCAATTTGATGCTCTAATGAGCCAATTGTTCCCAAAAACAAGATGAAATCATGGACTTAAGCTTAATTATGAACATGCATGTGACAATTTGCCATGAAAACAACTTAAAATTCATCAATACAACCATGCATGCATGAATTAAGTTATAATTCAACATGTGAAGCTATTTCATGACTTAATCCACTAAATTTGACATGAATCATGTAAGAACAAGTTCAATTCACAAACAAGAGGGTAATTACACTACCTTAGGTCTTGTATTCAAGGTCTAGGAGCTCAATTTGACAATTCTCTAACAATTCCTTCAAGTTTTCTAGCCAAACCTCAAGATCAAGTCAATTCTCTCACTCTCTCTATACCGTCGGTTGTAGAAAACAAATGGCTGATGAAGTGTGTTTGTGTCAAAAGTATGCAAGCCTCTAAATGTGTGAGATAGTGGCCACTAAGTGGCATTTTGGCAATTAAGTCCACCTAATGCAATTTAGCTTAATTTAATCTAGTTTAATCATACCAAATCACATCTTAACTGAATATGCCATAAAATCACATTAATTCTAAGGATCACAAATCATCAATCAATTTCAGATTCGGCCGCCGATAAGGCCTTCAATTCGCAATTTAAACACAAAGGCATGAACAGATAATCAAACAGTCAACAGATAGACATATAATTAAACAGATATACTTAATCAATTCAGTTCCAAATTTCAGTCAGTCAGTTCAGTACTTCAATCAATTCAGTTACCAATTATAATCAGTCTCAGTTTAGCAGTAATCAGTGGTTAATCGGTAAACAGTGATAAGGGTTATTACAGAGTGTCTTTCACTCCTAGTGTGCTGGGAGACTATAGGGATTGTTTTCTGCCCTCCCTTCTGGGCATTGGCCGCTGGAATCAGCGTGTCCTATAGCAGGAACGGTGGCTACATGACGTTGTTTTGCATCATAAAATTAACGACCGATTACAGGTCTGCCAATTTGTTCGTCATCTCTTTCAACTCTTCGTCCCTTCGCAAGCATCTGTCTTTCCATACCTGGAGGTCGTTCTCATTGTAATACCCGCTTCGGTCCGACTTCTTTGGTACGTCGCCCTCCTGGCTGACGTCTTCCTTACCGTGATTTTGGTCCTGAGTCTCCTCGTTACAACCATCTTCCTCCATGTTAGGGTCAACGTGTTTATCATTCCCAGCAGGGATTTCGTCCCCAACCTTTTCCTTCTGTCCGTCGTTGGCCATCTATTCTCCTTTCCTTCCCACAGACGGCGTCAAATTGTGTGAGTGAATTTCTGACCACACTGCCAACTCAGTATTCATCTGGAGAGCACTAGCAGAATAGATGGCGCCTGATTGACCTGCAACTGAAAGAAGAGAGTCCGGCGGTGGTTCGTTCACCCGGGGGCACTCCGACGATCAGGTCAATTATCTCTCAAAGATAAATCAAGTGTTTAACTCACTGTTCAAAATATAAATTGCGTACCAACTCAGTCTTAGTAGAAGCCTAGCTTCAATGGACTTCAGCTCAGTGCTTATCTTGGACTCTTCAATAGATAAAGATAAACTCCCTAAGAGTTTTATCCTTATCCATGCTAAAGTCCTTCCTCATTCTAGGACTCTTGTCCCTTATCCACTTATCCTGGACTCCGATATCTTCGGAGATAACCTTGGCCTAGCCGAGATCACCTCGGCATCACAACCAGGACACGTGGCACCTCGGCTGACACGTCGGGGTCACCTTGGCCACGTGTTTGGTATTCAGAAAATATATCCCCACAATATATATAAATAAACACATATTTATATATGAAGAGAGAAATAAATGAGAAAATGTGTATAAATAAATGTATTTTCTTGTGTGTGTGTATGTATATATATATATATATATGTCATATGTGTAGAAGAACTAAGAAAAGAAAATGAAGAAGAAAAAATGGAGAGGAAGTTTCCATGCGGCGGAGTCTAGATTTGAGGGCGACAGAGTCCAGATCTGGTATATCGAGTAGCTTTAGTCATGAAGGAAAGTGAAGGAATCCAATGGCGCGGAGAATGACTGATTCTCAATGGCAACGACAATCTGAAGCCAAAGATTCTGGTGCACAAGCTATGGTAGCGATCGGCGATGGAGTCATAACAGCGATGATGGGACTCATGGCTGGAGTGAGAGAGAAAGGAGGTCAATGGCATGAAAGTGAAAGAAAGAGAAATAGGTGCACGGCGGCGTCGAGGTTGGAGGTGGAGGTGGAGGTAGAGGTGAAGAGGAGAAGAGAGAGAGGAGCGGCGACGGAGGTGGTGGTAACGGCAGTAACTGAGGCGACGGCATGTGCGAAGCGGAGGGGGGAGAGAGAGGAGAGTGAGTGTTTAGGGTTTGGACAACATTGTATGTGGTTTATATGCAAAAGGATGTGTTAGTCATTTTACATATACTTGTTCTTATATACAAAGAAAATTAGCGCCAGAATCTTTAGACCAAGAAAATTTGAAATTGGATTTCTCAATCGAGAACCTACAAAAAAAACATAATACGCTAACTTAAGTCTTGTTTGGAAAGTATCAGTTTTAGTTAAAAAATTATTAAAAAAATTAATTTATACTAAAAAAAGTTAAATATTTTTTTATTCATTCTATTTTTTGAACTTTTTTTTAATAAAAAATATTCTTATTTTAATTGAAAAACTACCTTTAATCACGGGCACATCTGTTACATGAAACATTTTTTCCACTATATGACATCATATACTATGGACATAGCCGCCGCGAGAGTGACGATTAAAAATGCGACGTCATATTTGATATGTCTAAAGGGACCTCCATTTCGTGCCACTTTCCACAATCTACCAAATCCCTGAATAATAGTACGAATTTATCGTTATCAATTCAAACTACTTAAAATTTTCATTTTATAATATTATTTTACATATAAATATTATATCACACAAATTTAGGTTAAGTTTGACCTACTTTATATAATTTATCTTTTTATTTTTTATTTATCACATTATCTTTCTATTTTTATATATATTTTCATAAAAAAATAAAAAATATATTTATATAGTTCATCCCAAATAATCTCTTAATCTCACCGTAAAACCATCCACTCAAAAATTCTAAATGAGTTAGGTTTTTTTTTACAGCGCTGCTTCAGACTCCAGTGACGTAGCGCGCTGCCATTCGCTGAAACAAAAAAAAAAAAAAAATTTTTTTTTGGGGCCAATCATGGGTCTACACGCACGACCCCCACGAAGGTCTTAGCCATTTTTCTTTTTTTTAATGTTACCAGATCTGGAAATCTGAGTCCTAGAATTTTCCCCAAACCCATAGACTTTACTTCTCTCTCTCTCTCCCCCCCTCTCCTATAAGTATTTCACCATTCTTAGCTTTCTTCTCTCATTCACTTGACCAAAACAAAAAAGACACGGAAAATCTTTGTTTGTGGGTGCAATGGAATCAAGAATGGATTATACAAGTCTCAACCTCAACCTCAACATTAATCCTCAAGACAACATTGATGAAACTACAGTAAGTTGAATGAATTCAATATGCATTTCATATGATTACCGGATTCATTTTTCTTGTTTTAATTGCTTCCATGAATTAATTTAAAAAACTTCAAAGTTTATTTATTTATTTTTAATTCTTTGTTAAATCAGAATAGAGAGTTCCAAGTTGATATGATTAATTCAGAAACCAAAACACCAATGAAGAAAGAGGTGAGTTAAAAGACTAAAAACTATATATATCAAAATTTTCATTCAAAAAAAAAAAGATGATCTTCTTCTTCTTCATATCTCAAACAACTACAGTCTTTTCACATGCAAGAGGGAAGACTATATACATAAGAAACAACCCTGTAAACTTATGATTTTTAATTAGGAAATTTAAGTTTAATTAAAAATCATATGTACGGAGTTGTTTAAAAAGGCAGTATCAGTGCACGAGACCATTACCCAAACACAACAAACTATCTAGAAGTTATAATTTTGTTGTACTAAATCAAAGTTTCAATGTTTTGTAGGAAAGTGTTTTGATGGAAAAGTTGAACAAGATGAGTAGTGAGAACAAGAAGCTAACAGAGATGCTGTTTTTGATTTGTGAAAATTACAATGCTTTGCAAGGCCACTTAGTGGACTTGATGCAAAAGAACTCTGAAAATAATAACCACCAAAGTACCAAATCAAAGAAGAGACAGTGTGAAGGTGGTGAGAACTCTGGTGGAGCTAACAATGAGAGCAGCTCATGTAGTGATGGAGGTTCATGTAAGAGGCCAAGGGAAATCAAGACTAGTGTTTCAAGGGTTTGTGTGAAGGTTGATTCATCTGATACAAGACTAGTAAGTCCCCAGTCACAAAATTATATAAGTGGAAAACAGAAATCGCTACGTACCCAAAAAAAATTACTTGAATTTTGAAATATGTAAAATAGATTTATCCTGAGTTTGATGAGAGAATGTCTAGAATTTGAAATGTGTGGATCTGATATGCAACTTTTAACTCCAAAATATGACAAAATGATGGAATAGAAAGCAATCCCTCAAAAGTACTAAAAGAAACCTATTTTTGTGTCCTTGGTTTGAATTCCACAGATAGTAAAGGATGGATATCAATGGAGAAAATATGGACAAAAGGTCACTAGAGATAACCCATCTCCTAGAGCTTACTACAAGTGCTCTTATGCACCAAGCTGCCCAGTTAAAAAGAAGGTAGGCCAAAGCTCTTGGTTCTGTTTTCACTTTCTTCGTTTTCGTTTTTTCTTTCCACTTATTCTTCGTGTTTTCAGAAACGAAAACAATGAAAGGTTCAAAAAACAACAAGTTGATTGTTTTTAATTTGTTTTGGTTCTCATCATGTATAGGTGCAAAGAAGTGTTCAAGATCCCTCAATAGTGGTAGCAACCTATGAAGGAGACCACAACCACAGCCACCCATGTCAAGCTGAGGTGGCTCTGGGCTTGAACCAGTTTGTCTCCCCTACCATGATCACTTCAGAAAGCCCTACTACTACTCCAAATCCAAATCCAATGATTATTGATTCCACACAACTAGGACTGTTTGGTAATGCCAACAAGTCTATTCCAGAGATTGATCTTCCTGCATTTCAAAATCTTTTGGTTGAAAAAATGGCTAATTCTCTAACAAAAAATCACAGTTTCACTACAGCTCTTGCAGCAGCCATTTCAACCAAGATTCTAGACCTAGAGGGTTGGGAAAACAGAAGTGTCTAATTTTGAGTACAATTTTCTTTTTCTTTTTTTCTTTTAATTTTTAAATTTCATGTAAGAGTATTGTTTCTGAAGATATGAGTAGGGTCACTATCAACTGAAGTGAATGTAATTTTATGTAGAAATGCAAAAAATTATATTGTCTTCTCCAGTTTTCATTTTGGTAATCCATATGTGTCGTGTGACTGGTGTTTAAACTTTTACACAGTCAGTGCCAAACCTGAATTAAGAACAAAGTTGTATTGTTAGGTTGTCCTAACCTAACAGTTGAAAAAAAAAGGGGACTCTATCCTGTTTGGCTAGCTCTTTGGTCATCAAGTCTCTATTAAGGGGAGGTCTTGAATTTTATTTTTAGAAGTGAAATGGGAGGGCAAAACTTTCTTCTAAGGTGTATGGTTGTAAGTTTTAATTCTTCCAAAATACTAATTTAACAACTAATCACCGACTTTTGTTGATCGAAGAAAAAAAAAATTGACAGTCAACACATAAAAAATTTACATTAATCTCTTATGAATATTGTAATGGCATCTTTAATGAGCCATGGTTAGATATTATAATCAACCAAATCGTGATATGAAGCAGACAACCGATCTTTCTAGCACATAATCTTTGTGCTATGAAAAATGATCTTATATATTTTAACATCATTTAAGTGCTAATAATTTATATATATTTATACATACAATTCAAGTCTTGATTGTTTGCATGGTCTGGTGTTTTCCTTCTAAGTCCGGCCCAAAGTAAAACTTCTTTTTTTAGAAATGATAATATCACCGATTATTTATCAATCTTCTGTATCACCTTCTATATGAATACTTATAATTAATTCTGTTGTTCGATGATAATTATTAAGAAATTAATGAGATATAACCTTTTTTTTATTCTAAAAATATCCTGATTCTAATAATAAATAATGATGATGTTAGTCAAAAATTCACACATTTAATATTTGAAAGATAAAATTAACACAATAATACCAAACACAATATCATAAGATTTACAGATAACTACAAACCAAAATTCAGTTGTTGACAATGCAACCCATGATGACTCATCTCCACTGAACCATGGTTAGATATGGATGCATGTTTGTTGGTCATCTGTTTACCAAACCATGGTGTCTGGTCTGATCCTGGTCTATTCACATTTCTAGAAGCTTGTCAAAATTCTAACTGAAAGGGAAGAGAGTGTTTTCCAACATTTCAACATGAAGATTCAAGAAATTTGATGAGTCACTGCTAGTAGTGGATTCATCATTTTCATTGACTAACAAGAATGCTTCTAAAATTCTCTACTAAATTCTCCACCTTTTTTCTTTTCCACAAAATTCACTTTCAATGTTTAATTGTCTAAAATTTTATATTATTTCTTCACTTCTTTAATTTCTTTTTGTGTGTATGCACATCTTTGATATATTTTATTCTTATTTTTTATATTAAAAAAAAAACATGTGATTGTTTTTTAAATCATTAATAACAACAACAAAATAATTGATTAATTTTAGCATATCTCTGAATATAACTTTCACATGACACTAATTTTTAGGCTTACCACCAAATAGAAATTGAATTCAGTTATTGTAATTTTTATTAAGATTCTATACTCATCATCAAATCCTGACTCATTGAATATTTAAAATAATAATGAATCTTATTGTATAAATTAATCTTATTTTAAAATATTGCATGAAAAATATTTTATAAGAACCTAAAACTTTTTCAAAAAAATATAAATTGTCAACAAATTTAACAAAGAGGTTTCTAGGTGTGAAAGTTGAAGGCCAACCAACGTTATACACGCACACACCACATAGTATTTACACTATGTTTGCATATTTAGGAGAAAAAAAATTGTCAAATTAAGATAGAAAATAAAAAAAATTAAAAAAAAATTCTCCCTCTTGTTTGGTTAAATTGGAGAGAAAAGAAAAGAAAAGAAAATATAGTGATCTTTTCTAATCTTATTTAAATAGACTACATAAAATAAAATAAATTACAAGTTATTTTATCAAAATAGCCTTTTATGTTTTTATTTCGTTTGTAGGTAGATGGATAATTTTGGTATTATACAAAATTAGTAATCTTTCTATTTCTTTTCTTTCTCAATCTCTCCAATTTTGAAGAGATTCAAAAAGTAGATTATAAGAAAATTCAATCTCTCTATTTCTTTTCATTTCTCCTCACGCCTGTTTAGTAATTCATTTATGTTCACTCCAAATCACTCAATCCAAACGAGGTGTTAGTGGGCATTTGGAATTGATTTTTTTAATAATTTTTACTTTTTAATTAATGCATTAAGAAAGTATATAAAAAAAATCTTTTATGAGCAAAAACAATTAATGTAACATTTAACCTTTTTTAGTTCAAAACAAATAGTTTAGTGACTTTTCAAATTTTTTTTAACAAAAAATAACATTTTTTTAACATGTTGCCAAACGCACCCTTAAGTAAAAACATGTGGAAGGAAAGGAAGTCCATGAAAATTAATTGAAAAAAAGTTTGGAAAAAGTCAGTTTCAGTTGGTACCATACATGTTGGGACAGTTGGTTTGGTGGGTACGATTTCAAAACCGTGTGGGCATATCACTTTTTGAGGAGTCGTGTAGACTAACACCACCACCACATAAGATAAATCAAACTTTATTTGGTTTAATTTTTGAAAGATATTTTTTTGAATTTTTTAAATGTTTATGTTTTAATGAATTTTTTTATATATATTTTATTCAAAAAAAATTTAACTAAAATATATGTAATTTTATTTTTAAAAAAAAGTTAATAAAAATCGAAGGTGAAACCCTAATAAGAAAAGATTAGTAGAAATTTTTGTAAAATAAAAAAAGCCTTTAAAAAACTTACTCATGACATTTAAATTTTTGAATTTTTATAGTTTATTAAAGAATTTAATTCATTATATGTTTCGAGGAAAGGTTTCCAAAATTTACAAATAGTGTCCAAGAAGTGTTTTATTGAAAATTTTCAAATCACTCCCATGTTTGGAAGATTTTTTTTTTAATATTTGGTACAAATCTCTCGAAGTGTTTATACAAAGTTTCTTATAAATTTTTGCTTAGTTTCTTCGGAATTTCCATTTAATTTGTTTTAAAGTATCTCCAACGTGTTTTTAAATTTTCACAACTCATTGAAAATACATTTGAAATTGATCCATACATGCTCAAAAATATATAAATCTCATAAATAACAGGCGAAAGAGATTGATTCTTTTCGAAATTTTGCTTTGCTTTTGACAATTATAATCATCTGCCAATCAAAATACTACTTTAGTAATCTTTTCCTTGACATTTGGAATGTGATAACTTTGTTTTATGTGGGGTTTGAAAGAGAGGATGACAACTTTCTCTCACCTCATTTTGTATCTTTCACCATGTTCACATATGTTTTTCTTGTCCTAATAAGAAAGCGAAGTGAGAATGAATTTTCCTCCGCATGCATCTAAAACATTAAAATATTTTACTTAACCCTCATTTTTATTTTTTTATTTCTCATCTTATATTTTTTAAGTCTTATTATTTATAAATCATTATCCGTAATATACTGTATTAACTTTTTATTTTAGAGCACACTACCAATAGGTTCTAAAAATTAAACTCAATTCCCATCAAGTCCCGTTAAAAATAAGACTCAGTAAAATTGTTGTTAAAAATAATTTTTTATGACGATTTTTTACATATGTCGCTAAAAAATAATAATTAGTGACTTTTTTGTCACAATTTTTATAAATTGTCATTAAAATTTAAAATTAGTAACATTTTTCTATGATAAATTTTTTAAACTATCGCCGAAAGTTAAAAATTACTAACAGTTTTTTAAACTATCGCTAAAACTTATAATTAATGATATTTTTTGAGACAATTTTCAAAATGTTGCTAAAAGTCAACAATGATCTACACATAAGTCTTTCTTATTTTTATTCCTAAGATTATAAATTTAACCCGTACAATTAAGCAAGCATTTATCTAGCAAACACACTCCCTTCGTCTCATGTTGTTTGTTTATCTTTCCATTTTTGGATGTTTCAAAAAGATTGTCCCTTTGAAAAACCGAAGCAGATAAGTTTTCAAAAACTACCCCTTATAAAATAATGCCTTTAAAAAACTAAACGCAAGTTTTTTTTTAATTTTAAATAAAGCCTTTAAATTTGAATTACAATGCATTTATTGCACGTTCTATTAAAAATTGAAATCTCCAAATTGAGTTAATAAATAAATAAAAAGCAAGCAATGAGGTTCATAATCCCTAATCACTTCAAATCTTTGCAGCTTTAAGAAATGGAAACATTGTACTGAAATTTTATATTTAGATTCTTACATCTGTATAAATTAAAATCTACAAATTGAGTTAATAAATGAGCCCAAAAACAAAAACAAAAACAAAAAAACTAGAAGAATAAAGTAGGACTAAACTACTAAACATATCTTTACAACAAAATTTTGGTAAACTATCTTACAGTTGGCTCGGCAAGCAGGATTATCGACTCCATCTGTGCTTCAGAAACAATAAATCAGATTAGAATTGGTATGCATAGAATGCTTTTAGAAACAAATTTGAGGGGGAAAAAAGGCATTAAAATGCTTACCACTCGAAATGAGTATATGCAATTGCATTAAATCCTCAGCCGATCACTAGATTTAAAATCATCCCCTTTGTCAATATATCTCGTTCTTCACAGGGTCTCAAGCCATTTAGGAAATAATTTTATGTACTGGGAAGCAGCAACCACTAAACGGTCGATCAATAGAGCAAATTAAGAAAATCACTTGATTAATTGATTTTACAATTCTTGATGGGTGCTTTTATGAAGATCTCTCTGCCTCCCTTTTGGGAGCACTTGTCTTCATTTTCTCATTTATTGGTTCCTTTTTTGGGAATGCCTGTCTTCATTTTCTCATTTATTGGTTCCTTTTTGGAGGGCATTTGTTTTCATGCTCTCATTTTCTGCTCCCTTCTGTGCCTTCTTCTTTTCCAGCTCAAGCTGCTTGCAATTTTCATCGTGGGCTCGGACAAACATCTTCACAAAATTAAGCAAAGTAGAAACAACTGCAGTACACATTCCAAATAAATTCAAGATCAGCATAAGAGAGTGGAGCATGAACTAGTAAATGAATACAGATTGGAATGCTTCAATTTAAGAAACAGAGTAACCAAAAACGAAATGGCATTTACAAAATACATCTCAGAAACTGGTACACTTTCAAGCTTAAAGAATCATTGAACAGAAAATAATGGAAAGAAAACTTATTGCAAGAGGACTAACTCTTTTTCCCAGAGATCTGTTTTCAATAGCTGAGATGGCAAGAGTAGAGTTGAAGGACACGACTGTTTGGAAATGTTTTCGAACATTAAGCTGAAAATCTGAGCTCACAAGAAACTTTTACAAACTCATGAGCAACAATCTAGAAACTCATAAGAAAAACCCTTGGTAGAATTTTCTCAATTGTCCATAATCTGAAGCTCTTTTTCAATAATGAGTTCCAACATTCTTATAATTTTCTTCGATCATAACCTAATCTCAGTATTCTGCTGATTATGCTAATGTTAAAAAAAAAAATTCCCTCAAAGTTTTTGTGAGTTTATTGAACTTCTAATATTGTGCCCCATTTCTTGCTTCCCATTTCCTAGGATATTTTTTACTCCAGTTTCACCCTTTCATTTCGCTCAACATTTCCCATTTCCACTTCCTTTTTCTGGCAACTATGCTTTAAAGCAACCCAGGCTTTCATTTCCTATCTGCTTCTCAACTTGAGTATTGGCACAATATTGCTCAAATGGATGCCACCAAACAGTGCAAACCCATACAACAAGGCAACTATTGAACTTCTAATATTGTGCCACATTTCTTGCTTCCCATTTTCTAGGATATTTTGTACTCCAGTTTCACCCTTTCACTTCGCTCGACATTTCCCATTTCCACTTCCTTTTTCTGGCAACTATGCTTTAAAGCAACCCAGGCTTTCATTTCCTATCTGCTTCTCAACTTGAGTATTGGCACAATATTGCTCAAATGGATGCCACCAAACAGTGCAAACCCATACAACAAGGCAACACCGAATTCAAGTGTTGCTTATCTGCATTGAAGCAATCCGTGTTTTATTTCCCTAGGTAATTAAGCACTTAATTTAATAGTTTACAGGTATATTAATGGCATAAACTGCATTATCTATGCACACTTGACCACATTGCATCTTCATTATATGATGATCATGATTCTAATTTATACATTATGATCACCCGAGGAAAAAAAAAAAAGAAGAAGAAAAACATGTCTTTTAATTGAAATTCCCAGGTTTGCTATTAATTTCCATCTTTTTGTCTCAACAAAACAATTAATTATTTGATATCTGTTGATAATTCTATCATATGTCTGTATTCTGAAACCTCAATATGGCAGTTAAAATCAGTAATATTTCCACTGGGTGCTGGTGGATCAACTTATTCATCAAGTCACTTTCTTTTGCAAAACTGGAACACTACAAATGTTAATCCACTCAAAGTTTTTAACCTAAAACCTTGTATCTCACTCCATGGACAAACTTGAGGATTAACATCCGATGACTGTCAGTGGGTGCAACACATATATGTAATTAATTTTGGTATGTAAAAGTGAATGTGGAAAAAAACTAGGCTTTCTGTAAAATTTATTTTAGTTTCTTTTCATTTTCAATAAGCAATTAGTTTCTTTACTAACATGTTAATGTTTACAGCAAACTAACAAACCAGACTACCTTGTTCAAATGGAGTACGGGCTGGATCTTCTCCGAAGTAAAGAGCCAATGCATCAGCATTCCTTCCCTGGAATCATCCCCAGTGTGTTCAATAATGAGATTTTAATCTTGTAAGCAAAACAAGAATGTTAAAAAGAAAACATTGAGACATACCACTCCAGAATAAAGTGAAGCCAAAGATCTCACTTCACCTTCAGCAAAATCAAGAAAGTCCTTTAAAAGCTGAACATTTAAAAATAGCATCAATGATCAGAAAGGGAAGCTACAGAGACATTTTAACTACTGGACCAAATAAAACAAAGTAGATTCTTGTTGCACTTAAAAGATAGGGTAAATTACACCGATCACCCTTGAGGTTTAGAAAAAATACTTCCGTTTTAGTAAATATAAATGTTGGTGTAAAAGAGATGACACGATCATTTTTCCATCTAGACGACTAACGAATTACTGATAAAAATGGGGCAAAGTGTTATGTAAATTACAATTTCAGGGAGCCCAATGTAAATATGTCAAACTTGTGAGGCTAGATGTATTTTCTCCATACTTCAAGGAAGGTTAGTGTAATTTACCCTAAAATATATGAGCAGCTGGTAAGCAAGTGTATATCTGAAATTAGCCATTTAATTTACTCATGGTTTTTTTTTTTGGATAAATAAATAGACTTTATTAGAAAAGCATCAAGACGATGCAAATAATAGAAAAACCACCCCCAAAGGACCAAAGAAAACTATCTAAGCAAATCCTCCACAAAATCTACAAAAACCAAAACACTTTGTTAAAACCTATCACCTACTTCACCCACTTTAACCTACTCCACTAAACCTAACCCACTACACCACTACCACCTCACCTACTCCACTAAACCTAACCCACTACACCACTACCACCTCCACTTCACCTACTCCTTACCTACTACACACTCACCCTCTTCTATATATATAGGAATCATGAATCATTGTAATAGATATCAACTACAACATTATATCAATCAATAATATCAATCATCAATACATATTTCATTCTCTCTATTTTTCCATACATCAAATTTAACATGGTATCAGAGCAGGTTTAGAACCTAGTATTCGCGCTTCACCGGCGGGCGGCAACCTCACCTTAGCCGTCCGCCGGACCTCAACCTAGTCCGCTTATTTTCTACACATACCTTCCCATCATTGCCCAAATCCTCTCTCCCTCGGATGTGTAACCATTAATTTGCTCAACATCTTTGGCATCTTCTTCTAATGCCCTTCTCCTTGCAACATTGACGTAGTGGTCTCTGTGTGTAATTGACACTGGCCTAACCCTTTCAACAGTAGCTCCAACGGCTTCAAGTATTTGAGATTTCTCAATAGCAACGTCATCTGGGATAACCACACGGCATTTGCATCCATAGGCCGGAGCCACAGTTGCACGACTGATAGCTGTGCTCCCAGCACTCCCCTCTGTAACTACTCCACCTTGAGCCATCTCATCATGATTCTGATCAAAGGAGTGTTGCCAATGGCGTCGATGAGCCCATTTCTTGGTTTCTTCTTCGGTGTGGTTGTAGCTGCGGCCTCCATCGCCACCGTACTCCCCAGTTGGGACATTAGAATTTCCACCGCTACATTTAAATCCCCATCTGCAGCTGCCACTGCAACTTCTACCTGTGTCCTTTCAAAACCCATTGCTACAAGATTTTGGATCTCTTCTTCTGAGACGACTGAGCCCTGATGGTGTGCAAGGACTCCAGCAGCTGTAGCTGTGGCACCATCGAATGCAGACTGCCTTCCATTTACAATCTGCTGGTCTGCACCAGTTGCTGTTGGATGGTTGGGGCTGCCACCATTATCCAACAGTCTAGCCTCTAGGCTTGAATCAGAACATACAGTGGAAACTCTCTCTCGAGAGAGAGTTGTTCTCTCTCCCAACCTGGCTGATGATCTGTTCTTGTTCAAAGTATTCATGGAGTGTGGTGTTGGGCTCTTCACCAAGACTGCTGCAGCGTATCAAAAGCGACAAGAAAATTTTTTTAAGGAGCTGGAATTTGTGTTTTTGCGGATGTGGTGATGGCCATTATTGCAGATTTCATGCTTGTCTCCCTCCCTGCTCCTACTGTCTCTCTCCACTCAAGGACACCCTCATAAAATAACATAAAAACATATCAGCAGCAGAGGAAAAAAGGCCACCCACACACACACAACAACCACGTGATTTCCCACTTTTCTTTTCTTTTAATATATATATATATATATATATTTATTATAATATATTTCCCCCAATATATTTCCACCATTCTCAATGCATTTTTTCTTCTTTAAAAGATCATCCAAGAAAAAGTACATCATAAATGCTAGCAATTTTTTTTAAAAATTTGATGAAAAATAAAGTCATACTTGGTAACAAGGTCTTGGGAAAGTTTGATTAGTTGCTGCTCTGAATCAGGGAATATTACCCGATAAGCACGGACAGCTTCCACAAATTCACGAGTAGAAGCCTTATACAGAAAATAGTAGATAAGCAATGGTTATTGTGCACAAACTAACTACAGGCATTTAAGAAAGTAAAACAAAAAAATAACACAGGCACTTGCTATAAGAACCACATAAACAAGAAAGAGTACATGCTTTAGGGAAATGAAAATTTGGCAGAATCATAGTACCAGCTGGCTCCTATTTCTGAAATTTAGATTTTTTTTTAATGTGCAATACAAGCAGAGTCAGAAATTGAAACAGAGTTCATCTCATTCGAATCGCATTAACGGCTAGGAATGGTTTGATATTGTACGATGGTACAATCAAATTTAAATTCAATCCAATAGTGTTCTAATATGATTAGGAGCTTCTAAGTTGGCAGAAGCAACTACATGGTTATGACACTCCCATACAGTGTCCTCTACAACGTTATGACACCACCATCCAGTGTTTTCACCAATGGTCTGACACGACCATACAGTGTCTCCTATCCTCTTTTCTTTTATGTATTCGTCTATTTTCTTGTTTTGTTACTCTCTCCAAACTCAAGTTGGTTAGTTCCTATCCCCTTTGAGTTTGCGGGGGGCTGTTAAAACCTATCACCTACTTCACCCACTTAAACCTACTCTACTAAACCTAACCCACTACACCACTACCACCTCCACTTCACCTACTCCTTACCTACTACACACTCACCCTCTTCTATATATAGGAATCATGAATCATTGTAATAAATATATAACATTATATCAATCAATCAATAATACATGTATTTTAACAATCAATAATACATGTATTTTAACAATCAATAATACATGTATTTTAACAATCAATAATACATGTATTTTAACAATCAATAATACATGTATTTTAACAATCAATAATACATGTATTTTAACAATCAATAATACATGTATTTTAACAATCAATAATACATGTATTTTAACAATCAATAATACATGTATTTTAACAATCAATAATACATGTATTTTAACAATCAATAATACATGTATTTTAACAATCAATAATACATGTATTTTAACAATCAATAATACATGTATTTTAACAATCAATAATACATGTATTTTAACAATCAATAATACATGTATTTTAACAATCAATAATACATGTATTTTAACAATCAATAATACATGTATTTTAACAATCAATAATACATGTATTTTAACAATCAATAATACATGTATTTTAACAATCAATAATACATGTATTTTAACAATCAATAATACATGTATTTTAACAATCAATAATACATGTATTTTAACAATCAATAATACATGTATTTTAACAATCAATAATACATGTATTTTAACAATCAATAATACATGTATTTTAACAATCAATAATACATGTATTTTAACAATCAATAATACATGTATTTTAACAATCAATAATACATGTATTTTAACAATCAATAATACATGTATTTTAACAATCAATAATACATGTATTTTAACAATCAATAATACATGTATTTTAACAATCAATAATACATGTATTTTAACAATCAATAATACATGTATTTTAACAATCAATAATACATGTATTTTAACAATCAATAATACATGTATTTTAACAATCAATAATACATGTATTTTAACAATCAATAATACATGTTATCAATCAATCAATAATACATGTATTTTAACAATCAATAATACATGTATTTTAACACACTTGGATCAACCGAACCCGTAATCCAACTATGCAATACCATCAACAACCGACAAGATAAGGAAAAACCTCCTACCTCTTTCCCCTCCTTCACCAGCACCCGATTATCCCACCACATGAGAACACCACCTGCCGTCCCTACAGCTGGTTGGAAAGCCCAATCCACATGCCTACTGCCCCATATATCCCTTACTACATCCAACCCCACCCACTCCATTTTGGTTTCCTGAAGGCACACCACATCCGCTCTAGCACTCTTCAATAAGAATCTAACCACTGCCCACTTTCCTTTATCATTTAAACCCCGCACATTCCAAATCAATATTTTCAAATGCATGGCAACAACAAAGGATCTTCATGCCCTTTCTTCACCCTTCGACCATCCCCAATCCTCTAACTATCATAATTGATGGAACATTCCAATCTGCGTATCCCGTCCTCCTCTATCCTCCTGGCCCATGCTCTGTAACTCCTGCCCCCTCGGCGCACCCCCTCTTCATGACATCTCAGTGGCAAAAAACAGTTTAAAAGCCTTTTCCTCATGTCCTTCAAAAGAAACTCCCAAAAATTTACTAACCTCAGCAATCCGAGTCAATACCCACTCAGAAACCTTTCCGATGTCAATGGATGCTTTGCCTAGAAATTCACCTCCAAATCCTGCTCAGTATCTGACTATAGGTTGGCCAACACCATATTCCCAGCTTCCACTGCCAGTGGCTGGAGTACTAAGGCTAGTCCATCACCCATCTCTGCCCAGCGAGCCTCTAATTCTGCCCCCCATTCCTCACGACCCTCCTGACGTACATGCTCTACCCCACTAAGCTCCTCCCCAATCGGCAAATGTACTGGAGGTTGAGAATCTGACCCACCAACCGCTATGTACTGCCCGTAGTGTGACGGCAGCGTTAGAGACTTCTCATCCCTTAGAGGCTATGTCGTGTCTTTCGTACCTGACGTTGATTCCTCACCACCATTATTGCGGCGAACCGACCCAACACCAGCGTATAACGAAACGAAAAGCCATTTAATAGTTGGATTCACCTGTGGGCCCACCTCCCTCACTTGGCCAGTTGGCCCTTAAATAAGGGCCTGAGGAGATTTAAAAATCCCATTGGGGCTCTCGGATTGATTGCCAGCCAAAGAAAACTAGCCCATATGCAAAGGCACCCAAGTTGTAAGGTCCAAATCCCCCTGTCCCAACTTCTGGACTTGGGAGTCCACTAGGCCCAAATTTCCCTAGCCCAACTGTTTGATTAGGGAGTCCACTAGGTCCACCTCCGCATCCAACTGAGCCACCTCCTTTCTACTTACATTCGGTCTGCCCTGAAACCCAGCTCTATTGCCCTCCTTCACAAATCTACGATTTTCCCCAAATCTTCCATTCCCCTAAATCCGCCGATCATCATGCCTCCATACACTGGTTTCCTTAGTCTTCCAAAATTCTCCATTTGTTACTGCCACCGGCTGGGAAGCTTCAATTTATGGCCCTGACTCTGGCCAGGTCGGTAGCGAGTACAGCCACGACTCCCAACAGAGTAAAACCCTAGCACGAATGCTTCTGTCTCAAACCGGCAACTGAACCATTCCCAGGTCCGTTGACTATTCATCAGCCTCCACAAAACCCCCACACCGATGGCCAACCGCCAACCACCCGATATGTTGCTTTTCTACGAAGGTGTAAAGGTATTCCCATCACCCTAGCCCACTTGTACGTCTCCGTGACCAACGTCTTCCCCTTGTCACATAGAACACTCAGTGACCACCATCGCAAAGGCAAATCGCGTCCATCAATCACCCATCGGTGCCGCGACACATCCTCTACCTCACGCCGGAATGGAAAAACAAACAAGAAGGGCTAGCTCCCTATCGGGCGAATCTCCACTTGCCCAACCCGCTTCCACCAATGACCAACCCATTCCACCATAGATGAGAACCCAACTCCTCTACTCCCCACCTCTCCCACTTGACCCACCAGCGCCCTCTCCAACAAATCAAACCACCCCTTCTTCGTCACGCCCTTCACCACCACATCACCTACCTCCATTGATTCAATTGCCCTCTCAGCCGAGTTAGCAAATCTCCTCCCTTTCGTCACCCTCTTAGCCGCATCAATCCAGGCCACCCAACCATCCCCTTTAGCAAATCCTTTCAAAACTAGTGCCACTCCCTCCCAGCCGTCCCCAAAATCCGACATGGAAAGAAAAGTCTGAGTTCTTTTACCCTCTAAGGTAATCACAATCTGAAACATAGAACTACCATCTTCCTTAGCACAGGTCCAAACTGCCACGCTACGCCGTTTCCCCTCTAACCCACCCACAAACGAATGACGGCCTTGATTCCGTGACGCCCACCACAGCTTCGCGCCTATCCATCACACTTCAAATCCCACCAACCTCACTTCCCTGCGCAAGCCTTGCCCTCGCTCCACTATGGACAAACACGGATGACCCCCAAACATCTCTGCCATCTCCTCAAACTCGAAGGACCGCCCCCCAAGAAAAAGGATCCGCTGGCATGGCCCAATCTCCTCCCTCACCGGAAGCATTTCAGGTAATTACCACATCCCACCGGAAATCTCTTCTAAATATGGAAATAATTAGAGAGTAATTTACTCATGGTTTTAAGGTCAAGCTAACCTTATGCCAAACACCCTCATTTTGACAGATGCAATGACATTTAACAATGGTGGCAATTTTTAGAGTTCTTTTTTTTCCCTTTCTTTAAAATTTTTGATTTGTATTAAAAGAATGGACTGCATATTTCAATTTACAGAAACCATATTTCTTTTATGGTTTTCTGTTTCAGGAACTTTTTATTTTTACCAAATCACGGTGTACATGTAGAAATCATGTGTATCTATACATACATATCATAGAGAGAGAGAGAGAGAGAGAGAGAGAGTAGTGTTATGGTGGAAAAACAGATAACATCAAACAAACACACCTAAGAGTTTATATCATAATGCCAAGAAAAAAAGTTTATATCATAAGACAAAAGTAAATACAAAAGAAAATAAAAGATTACTTCGAGAGACAAGTTATCTACATTCACATTTTCACTATATATATACAGACATGTAGATATGTATTTACAAACTAATGAAATAGCACTAATTCCATAGAAGAATCACATTTTAGAATCTTATCAAATTTGAGAAATCATTGCATGTCAAAAGAGGAAGGCAAGGCCCCTTGTCTAGAATAAATAGGCTCAAATGGCTGCAAGCCACAAAAAAATTCCAGTAAAACCCTGTGGAAAATTTAAGCAAGATGCCAATACAGAAAAACTTCATCCTGAACGTGATAAAAGATTGTTGATGTACATAATTACCTTGCAAAAATTTTCAGATACAGTACCATCATTTTCTGAGGCGGTTAGTTCCTGAACAACTTTCTCTAGGCCTTTGCTAATCGCTTGCATTTCCTCTGCCAAATATTTCAATTGTATCTGCATGATAATCAATCATTTATCCCAATGTATGACAATTGAATGAAAGAAAAATTCATGTTTACATGGAAAAATGAATACCTTTGTTGAAGCCTCCAAGCTTACGAGGTCTTTCGGGAAATCTAACAGTTCTGGTAGTTTCTCAGCAAGCACCTACAGATTGTCAGAACAAGTAGTTTCAACATGTTTGAAAAGTAGATAGTACGGAAGATCTGTTCTCTAATGACAAGGCAAACATATGTTGAGACTCAGAACAAAATAATTTTTTCCTACTCTTTTCCATTTCTTCCCTTTATACATCTCTTAAAGTGTTCACTATGAACAAAATGGAAGAAATTGACTTCTGCCAAATAGTGTTACACTTGCAACCATATCTCCCAACATGTGAAAAGGAGAAGAAAAAAATAAAAATTTGAATCCACACTTGGAATGGCTTAAATATCTATACCATCTAATTATGCAAAAAGAGACGGTTTGCTCAGTGAGAAAGGAAGTTCATATCTGTTAGCCATCTTGCACCAAATTCAAACAATAACCATATTCCATCATATGTGACAGCTGATTATGTTTCTAGCACAATTTATTGTTTTATAAAAGCATTGAACTTGGAATGCATTTTTTCCAACATTAGTTTGTCATGTCAACCATTTGGGAAGTTTTAAATTATAAATGGCTATAAGTTTAGAAAAAAAGCACAGAACATTACTTCATAGCCATATGCAGTATGCATTATTATATATATGCATGAGAGAACACACAAATGCATGGGCAAAATGCACCATGACTTCACAAAAAGGGAAAATAAATTAAAATGGAGGACATTGGCATCATCCAACACCTTTGCAGGATTTGAAGTTCAGTTAATTTAAAACCACATTTGTTGAACAAATTTGACAAGAAAATACGCATCATCAAATTAAAAATTTGTACCTTGCAGAGATAGTGCATGAGGGTCATCTTGTTGTTCCTGGCTCGGGTATCAGTAAGTTTAAGAAGACTATCTAATCGAAATCCAACGGCAGAACCTACAGGGAATGGAACTCTGAAATCATGCCGAAACCAAAGCAAGGTACAATTGTTATTTATAAAAATAAAAAATTAAATAAACAAACAAATCAAGGTACATTTGTAACAAAAACAATAACAATTAAGTCATTTGTCTCTTTCTCATCCCCACTACTACTAGAATTTTACAATTTTTTTAAATGCTTTTTTTTTTTTTTATAATGGAAAACGTATTCCACAACTAAGCCTTTAAATCTTTTGTTTATGACCTTCTAATACTCATAAGCCTCAATATGTTCAACTATGTAATCATTGAAAATGTATTAACATTTACATAGGCTTTAGTTTTTGTTTCCAAAGATTTTTCAAATGTTTTCAATTTTCTTTTTCTCATTTCCTTTATGTTTCTGAAACATTTCTGTTTCCAACCTAATTGAAACAACATATTGGAACAAAATTTTGATCCTTGATGTTACTATGTTCATTCTGCAACCTCCTAGGAACCAGTCATCAGTGATGCCAGAGGTATCATCATGGGAAGAAGAGCCTGCCACTGCCGATTCCCTTAAGCTTAATATCTAGGTTCACAAGTATAATTATTTATTGGTATAGTGTTTTCCTTTTCTTTCTTTGTAATCAAGGTTTTAAAAAGCGGCCGCAACCGTTACATAACGCCGTTACGTAACGGTTTTGGCGTTTACCGCCACCTGTTACGGCCGCTTTTGCAGTGTGATTGAGATTCACAGGTGTGTCGGCCGTAGCGGCTGCCATAGCGGTCGTAACGGCCTGTTACGCACCGTTGTGTAACGGTTTCAAACTGTATCTTTCGAAAAAATACACAAAAAAAAAACTAAAAATAGGGGAAGAGGGATAGAGAGAAGAGGGAAGATAAAGAGAGAAAATGGAGGAACAAGAGATAGAGAGAGAGAAGAGGGAAGATGAAGAACATGTTATTGATTTGTTGAAACTGTAAGACCTATGCTATTCTATTCAGCTGCTATCACTAAACCATTTTGTTTGTGTGTGTCTATCTATTTATTGTTTGAAAATAATAATAATAATAAATGTGGTCATTATCTATTTAGTTTGGTTAAAATATGTATATATATTTAGGCTCTTATTTATTCTCTTACTTTTGTCATTATTTATCTTATATATAATAGTTAGTAATTGATTTTTTGTATAATATAAAGTTATTAATTATTAAAATAAAATGTAAAAAACTCAGTTTATAATGATTTAAAAATATGAAATATATTGGATCATACTTAAAAATTTACAAAAATTGATCAATATTTATTTTTAACCCAATAAATACGATCATGGAAAAAAAATATGCGTATCAATAAGTTTTTTTTAAATTGTGCGAAAAATGTACTGCCTCCAGGATTCAACAATCACCCCAAACAAATGCAGCACTGCGTACTGTTTGTACAGCGAACCAGGCTGTGATTTTTCGAACTCACACACGATGCAAAATGAAGAACTTATGAAGCAGAGATCGGAGAAGACTGGAACGGTTAAAACTATATTTCTATAGGAATGGAGGGTTGATATATATAGGCTGAGAAGTGCCTATTCCGGAATAGAAGACCGTTGTGAAGAACAGTCACCAGGTTGGAAACGCGACTGTCGAAGTAGGAGAGTAGTTGCAACCGAAAAATTTTAAATTCAAAATTTATTTTCAATGATGTGATAATAAAGTAAATTTTTTTATGTGGGAGCCTAATGGGTGTTCATCCCATATCGCTCCATGAGGAAATCACACTCTACTACATAAGTTGACTAACTCCTTCAATCAAATTAGCACAAGGCATTTTCCTAAGTGAAGAACAAAATTGTGAGGGTTCGTCCAAAGCGGACAATATTGTGCTAATGCCCGAGCAATTGCTGAGTTAATTTTTGATGGGATGTTTATTGAGTGTAAGCTTCGGGAGGAATCTGCAGTCATTACGGCCTTAGTCAACAGTGGAAGGATGATTAATCCGTGTAACAAGCAAGCTATTTTGCTTGTGGGAAAGGTTTGTATTTTCATAAGCCATCCATATATATGTATATAATCATTTCTTGAATTCCATGAAAAGTTATGGATGTATGTAATCTCTTCTACATGGATACTATCCTGCAAGAAACCTTGTTGCTTGACTTGATATTTACTTGAAAACTTCATATGTTATGGTTACAATGATTCCTATATATAGGAGAGGGTGAGTGTGTAGTAGGTAATGAGTAGGTGAAGTGGAGGTGGTAGTGGTGTAGTGGGTTAGGTTTAGTGGAGTAGGTGAGGTGGTAGTGGTGTAGTGGGTTAGGTTTAGTGGAGTAGGTTTAAGTGGGTGAAGTAGGTGGAGAGTATGTGGATTTAGTGGGTTAGGTTTAGTGGAGTAGGTTTAAGTGGGTGAAGTAGGTGGAGAGTATGTGGATTTAGTGGGTTAGGTTTAGTGGAGTAGGTTTAAGTGGGTGAAGTAGGTGGAGAGTATGTGGATTTAGTGGGTTAGGTTTAGTGGAGTAGGTTTAAGTGGGTGAAGTAGGTGGAGAGTATGTGGATTTAGTGGGTTAGGTTTAGTGGAGTAGGTTTAAGTGGGTGAAGTAGGTGGAGAGTATGTGGATTTAGTGGGTTAGGTTTAGTGGAGTAGGTTTAAGTGGGTGAAGTAGGTGGAGAGTATGTGGATTTAGTGGGTTAGGTTTAGTGGAGTAGGTTTAAGTGGGTGAAGTAGGTGGAGAGTATGTGGATTTAGTGGGTTAGGTTTAGTGGAGTAGGTTTAAGTGGGTGAAGTAGGTGGAGAGTATGTGGATTTAGTGGGTTAGGTTTAGTGGAGTAGGTTTAAGTGGGTGAAGTAGGTGGAGAGTATGTGGATTTAGTGGGTTAGGTTTAGTGGAGTAGGTTTAAGTGGGTGAAGTAGGTGGAGAGTATGTGGATTTAGTGGGTTAGGTTTAGTGGAGTAGGTTTAAGTGGGTGAAGTAGGTGGAGAGTATGTGGATTTAGTGGGTTAGGTTTAGTGGAGTAGGTTTAAGTGGGTGAAGTAGGTGGAGAGTATGTGGATTTAGTGGGTTAGGTTTAGTGGAGTAGGTTTAAGTGGGTGAAGTAGGTGGAGAGTATGTGGATTTAGTGGGTTAGGTTTAGTGGAGTAGGTTTAAGTGGGTGAAGTAGGTGGAGAGTATGTGGATTTAGTGGGTTAGGTTTAGTGGAGTAGGTTTAAGTGGGTGAAGTAGGTGGAGAGTATGTGGATTTAGTGGGTTAGGTTTAGTGGAGTAGGTTTAAGTGGGTGAAGTAGGTGGAGAGTATGTGGATTTAGTGGGTTAGGTTTAGTGGAGTAGGTTTAAGTGGGTGAAGTAGGTGGAGAGTATGTGGATTTAGTGGGTTAGGTTTAGTGGAGTAGGTTTAAGTGGGTGAAGTAGGTGGAGAGTATGTGGATTTAGTGGGTTAGGTTTAGTGGAGTAGGTTTAAGTGGGTGAAGTAGGTGGAGAGTATGTGGATTTAGTGGGTTAGGTTTAGTGGAGTAGGTTTAAGTGGGTGAAGTAGGTGGAGAGTATGTGGATTTAGTGGGTTAGGTTTAGTGGAGTAGGTTTAAGTGGGTGAAGTAGGTGGAGAGTATGTGGATTTAGTGGGTTAGGTTTAGTGGAGTAGGTGAGAGTGGGTGAAGTAGGTGGAGAGTAGGTGGTGGGTTAGGTTTAGTGGAGTAGGTGAGAGTGGGTGAAGTAGGTGGAGAGTAGGTGGTGGGTTAGGTTTAGTGGAGTAGGTGAGAGTGGGTGAAGTAGGTGGAGAGTAGGTGGTGGGTTAGGTTTAGTGGAGTAGGTGAGAGTGGGTGAAGTAGGTGGAGAGTAGGTGGTGGGTTAGGTTTAGTGGAGTAGGTGATGTGGTAGTGGTGTAGTGGGTTAGGTTTAGTGGAGTTGGTTTAAGTGGGTGAAGTAGGTGGAGAGTATGTGGATTTAGTGGGTTAGGTTTAGTGGAGTAGGTTTAAGTGGGTGAAGTAGGTGGAGAGTATGTGGATTTAGTGGGTTAGGTTTAGTGGAGTAGGTGATGTGGTAGTGGTGTAGTGGGTTAGGTTTAGTGGAGTAGGTTTAAGTGGGTGAAGTAGGTGGAGAGTATGTGGATTTAGTGGGTTAGGTTTAGTGGAGTAGGTTTAAGTGGGTGAAGTAGGTGGAGAGTATGTGGATTTAGTGGGTTAGGTTTAGTGGAGTAGGTTTAAGTGGGTGAAGTAGGTGGAGAGTATGTGGATTTAGTGGGTTAGGTTTAGTGGAGTAGGTTTAAGTGGGTGAAGTAGGTGGAGAGTATGTGGATTTAGTGGGTTAGGTTTAGTGGAGTAGGTTTAAGTGGGTGAAGTAGGTGATAGGTTTTAAAACTTTGATTCTGATGGATTAAAACCCAAATGCAATGATATCTTACATATCTGATCCGTAAGCCTATAGAGGTACATTGGGAGAGCAAAGCCAACTCCTTTACTCACCTCTTGCAGTTCCATGGTTCAAAGCATTTCCCAATGAAAGAATAGTTTGCATGATTCTTTTTAACTTGACTGAATTCCTGATCTGATAAGCACGTTATTCAAAATGATTAAGCAAAGATAGTCTTCAAAGTAACGCCTTTGTCAAGAAAAACAAGAAAAGAAAAAAGGCCAATTATCTTACCTCTTCAGCTACAGAATTTACAATATTCAAATTATTTCTGAGGTCAGATACCTGAAGAAGAGCAAGAAAGGAAACATATTGGTAACAACAAAGAAAGAATAAAAGAAAACAATTAGCAACATTGCTCTCTGACCTGTGTATGAAACTGTATTTTAAATGAGAATACTCTTAGTTTACACTCCACCCGTGGCACTTTCATCAACTCTAAGAAGAACTGTCACAGACATGTTAAAAGCATGTGAATCAGAACAAAATGAAAAACAAAGCAGCTTTAGACACATATGAAGTAATCCTCCCTGAACCATATAAGGCAGTTAGGACCACAATTGTGAAACAGGATGTTATAATTGAAGATGAAGGAAAACAATCTGACTAACCTTTTCACATTTTCCTAAGTTCTCCTTATCGCCATTGTAATTCTGATCATGAACTAAGGTTAGAATACGGAAAAAAAGAGAAGGGCACACCCATATTTCAATAGTTGACAATCTACTTCTACAACTGGAAGGTATCTAATAAATGGTGGGATAATATTAAAATCCCATCATCTTAGAGAAGATTCTAAAAAATGGCAGATTAAAAATATTCAGAAACAAAGTTCACTTACCTTGAGAACTTCCATTTCTTCTTTTGTTGGACAGAATTTTATCAGATTTTCAACTTGATCAATGTCCAGTGCGGAATCATCCAAAGCAAGGACTGAACTCTGTAGGAGATTTGTACCAAAGCAACAATTAAAGGGAATATTTATTAAAAGCAATATTTTTATTTTTAAATATATATAAAAAAATAAATAAATAAACTGTATCTCAACCACGTGTGCAGAGCTGCAATTGGAACAGAAACATAATTTGGCACATAAATATTGATATGATAAATGGATATCAGCCCAAAATTTTCAAGACAAGGGTTCCAGCTACATGGACATGTATTTACGAATGCGACTACTACTATGTCCTGACTTGTCTTGGAAGAACCATAGAGAGTATCCTACAATAGTAAAGTAAAATAGATTTACAATGGAAACAAATAAAATGATCTGTAATCCTCAAGCTAGTGGAACATAAATTATCAAAACAAGAAGTTATAAACTCTTGATGAGAACAATATATGTATACCAAACCAAACTAAGCCTTGTGCACCAATTAGGTGGGGTCGGCTACATGAATCATATGCTCAAAAAGAAAAAACTGTAGTTGTGATTGTATCTACAAATTTGGTGTCGACAGACATTGTTAATTCCAAAGTGTTATTATCTTTTGAAAATTAAATATCTGGGGGAGGGGAGATGTAGCACAGAGAGGGAGAAAGAAGAAGAGGAAGAAGAACAACGGTCACTGCCCTAACACAAAACAGCCACAGCCTTCAATGCTCAATATTATTCAATGCAAATCCTAATATTTGTAAGTCAAAAGAAACCTAATCAAAATAGAAACCTGAATCCTATTATTATTTGGAAACTTAATAAAAAACTAAATATTGCTAATATCTTAACTATCAATAAATCAAAATAAATAAACATGAATATTACAATTTAGAAAATTATAAATAAAGTTTACAACCAAAATTTGAGTGTGTCCATTCAACATCAAGGGGTCTCATATTAAATCTAAACATATATCTATATATTACAAAGCCCATTTCTAACCAGAACAGCAAAGGATCCATTTAGTGTGCAGGGAGAAGAGCTTTAAAAACAAGCAAGCAGACAAAAACAAAACAAGACATAGACACAAAAGGTTTAGCTTACCATCAAATCACTCAAAGGAACCTTAACTTTCGTAAGCATGATTTCACAATTATATGCCCGTCTGAGGTCTATCTGCAAGGACAAGAATATATTTTATGATAACAAATCAGAATTTATACTTTGCAAATCATAACTGTTCAATCATGAATACAAGAAAAAAATTAAAGAGTAAGACCATGCAATACACACTAGATCCTCATATTGAATGATGCAATCCTCAGATTCAGCAGAAATGTAGTATGAAAGTTAAAAACCTATGTGACAACAATGAGACACATCACATTCAACATTGCGAAATAGAATTAGACATGGCATTTTGCAAACATTCACAAAAAATGAAATTATACTCTCACCCATTATACCCTCTAACCAACAATAAATGGAATTTTGACAGAATGCATTCTAACTCCAATTAACTGTGTGTGTGCGCGCGTGTTCTGGCACCCATGTGCATGGGTATGAACATATACATGTTACACAAATGTGCATATACACCTGAATCTATATTCCTTGTATAGATGGAAATTTGGGAACATATTTTGAACCACATCTAGAAACCCTACAAACTTTCTTCTCCACATAAAACAGTAACCTATAAGCTTTCTATAACCAAAAATCACTCCAATTCCTACTGTAGGCAGCAATACTCCAAGTTTCCTAAAGTTATCCTGCTTCACGACCTACTGAGGAAAATGCCAGCCCACACGGAACTGCCAAGATAGAAGGGTGGACGAATGATACAGACAGCTCTAATCAAGAGTAAAACAGGATAGATAAACCAAGTAAACAAAACAAATAGGAATGCTACTAAAAGGATAGATAAACCAAGTAAACAAAATAAACAGGAATGCTACTAACTGCATGCCCTATTTTTTATAAATAAGCACTAAATTACCAGATTAACTTTGTCAGATTTAGTTCTCAAGGCATGACGATTTGATCTCCCACCTGTGCTTCCATTATTCGAATTGGGAACAGTGGCCGCAAAAAGACTCTCAAGTTCAGACATATCAAACTCTGGAGCCCTAGTGCAGACAAAACAGGAAGAGAAATCATGCCAATGTAATTGAATATGCAACCATATTTATTTTTGAAAAAGAAAATTTAAAAAATAAACAAATAAAAAGAAAGAAAGAAAGAAGGAAATGAGAGAAAAGAAGCTGAGGAAAATCGCACATACTTGGAAGCTTCATCAGGTTTTTGTGGCTCAGCCCATAAGCTTCCTTGCATGGCCCTTGTTAACTTCAGCCAATGATATGGCTTCAAGTTAGCCCTCCTATCCTGATTCCTTGGACATGTGCGTGAAGACAACTTTCCCTTCATGCTGAAAGGTGGTGCAGGAATTGGAGGTACGTTTCCATTACTGCCTGCAGAATGAGATCGTGGAGCGGTTCCACCAGTTTTTAATAACCCATTGGAAAATGGAGCTGGAGGAGGTGGTACAGGTGGAACATGTGGAGAATTCTCAGACAAGGGATCCTTTGAAATGTTGGGAGGAGGGGGTGGTGGTGGCGCTGAGGATGCAATACTAGGGCTTGAGGCTGGCTCCGAACATAGAGGAGGTGGAGGAGGGCCAGCCACATCTGATGAAGAAACTGGGACAGCAGCTGATGAAGCAATCCTAGAGAGTGGAGGAGCTGGAGGGGGAGGGGGAGGGGGAGTCGTTGAGAATGAGTTCTTAACAGTGGGAGATGGAGACGGCCATGAGGAAGAAATGGGTGGAGAAGGGGGAGTGGGAAATGACTTCCTGATAGTGGAAGATGGAGCTAACCCTAAGACAGATGGAGGTGGAGTAGGTGGAGGGGGTGGAGAAGGGCCAGCCACAACTGCTGAAGGAACTGGGTCAATAGCTGATGAAGCAATCCCAAAGGGTGGAGAAGTTGAAGGGGGAGGAAGAAGAGAAGTTGAAGATGAGTTGTCAACTGTGGGAAATAGAGCCAGCCCAGAGGAAGAAGTGGGTGGAGGAGGAGGAGGAAGAGTGGCAAATGACTTCTTGATAGTGGGAGATGGAGCTGCCCCTGAAAAAGGAGGTTGAGGGTTAGGCAGAGCAGAGAATGATTTCTTGACTGAGGGCAATGAAGATGCTCCTGAAAGAGAAGTGGGTGAGGCCGGAGGAGAAACTGATGATTGTTTCCCTTCACACTTTACTGAGGTTAAAGGGTGTTGGGAAAATAACGACGATGATAGTCCTGAAGCTAATAGGGGATGAGGAGGAGGAGGAGGAGGAGGAGGAAGGGAGGGAGAGGCAGGAGGAGGAGGGGTTAAAGAAGTTGTAGTCATAGTTGCAGAAACCGCCACACAAGGTTGTAATGAGGGAAACGGCTGTGGTGGCTGCAGTATCGAGACGATACCGGGCTGAAAAGGTTTAGACAGCCTTGGAACAGGATCTGAAGCCACAGGAGTTAGAGATACCTGGTGAGTGATTTCTTTGTTTTCAGACTCTTTATGGTCATGCAACAAAGCTGTAATGCCCAGAGATGAGGGTGCACTATGATATCTTGAGATAGACACAGGTGAACCTTGCAACAAATTGCAATATGACACTGGAGAAGATAGAGAAGTGTGAGGTATTCTCTGGGATATGATATTAAGATGAGCAGGGCGCTGAAGAGCAACCTGCAGTTCTTGGGGCTCAATCTTCTTCACATCTAGAGATGCCTTTGGAGAGGGCATAATAAATTGTTTACCCAGAACAACTGATGGGGAACTTTTGAAGTTGTCATCTGATTCATCCAACTTTGGTTTCTCTACAACTCTTTCAGGACTTGGTTCCTGCAACAGACGGCTATTTTTCTCACATGAGGGAGGGCCGGACTCCAAATTTTCTAGAAGCATATCAATTTTCTGTGGTGTCGCAGGTTTTGGTTTCTCTATAAATTCCTCACAATATGGTCCTAAGAACACACTGATCTTTTTAGCACTGCGGGGAGAGGCAAACTCCATTTGTTCTTGGAGAATATTGATTTGCTGGAGCATACTTAATGCTAGATCCACCTTTGGATCTATCCAATCCACATTGCTGAACATCTCTTGAACTTTAGCAAATGCTTCAATAGGAAGACCTTTCTCTTCAGTACTAGGCAAATCAATTGAAATAAGTGAAGATTCCGCATCCATCTCTGAGAAAAGTACCTTCAGCCAGCCAAAAGAAAACAGAAATTTGGTTCTTAAGAAAACAGACACTGCATTGCTAAAGATTATTGAAAAAATGGGAAAAGGATATATACCTCTGCTCTGAAGTCCTTGGGAAACTGGTCCTTGGCATTCCATAAGATATCAATTTCATCACGGTTAAGCATCAAGATGTTTGATCTAATAAAAGCGGTGTTGAACATGACCCGGAACATCATTGCCTCACATTCCAATTCATTATCCAAGCTAATGCACTCGAGCACAACATCGCCTTGAGTATGGCAATGAATGTCGATTTTAACAAGTTCGCAATCTGCCTGCAATAAAATATGAAGGATTTCCCAGGGAAAAATATATATAATGAAAAAAAATATGCATTAAACTAGATTAACATGAATGCACTTCCAAATTAGAGAATAGAAAGTAAAAAAATGTTTCCACGAATTGTTTTCTGTACTCAATAAATTCCCAATCACTACAAAGAACTCCGTACAATAGGAGATGATTAACAGATAAATGCACATTTTTGTTTTGGTACAAAAACCAGTTGGTCTTTACTATTCCATCTGGCAAAAATTAAGTCCGCATAGCCAATATAACATTGACAATCCAAAACTTTGTGAAGTACCTTACAACTAGACAGGATACAAGATAGATATCAGGATGGGATATGCTGCCTGACACATTGTTGTTGGATACACAGTTGACAGGCATACCAAAAAGGAGAGAAAAAAATATTTCCAAACCATGAAAAGTTCCATGAGTTACATTCTGATTAATCTCCTAATCATATAGTTATATGAACACAATCGTAAAATAACTATGCTCAATGCTCAATGCTGCATTTAAACTTCAATTTACACTAGATGTTAGTACTTGAATAATTGTAATCATGTTTCCAGTCTATGAAACACGGACACTCCATTTTAGCTGCCGTAACAATGTCGAAAACATGTCGGAAATTCCATGTATCGTGTAAAAAAATATATATATGTGTCCTATATGAGGGCACGCCACACAACACACTAAGGTTTATATTATAATTTTAGAAAGGTGATTTGGTGGTCAAAGTATAAATTTGGAAACAAGAGGGTGAAAATTGGAAAAACAAAAATGTTCCACTAATATGTTCAATCTTCGATGTCTCTAATCTATTCCTTTTATTCTATGCCCTAAAGTTCATCTGAGAGAGGTGGAGAGCATATCTCCTTGAAAAAATCAGTTGCCCTTCTCATCTTTTGCTAGTGTTCTTATTAGCCATTTACCCTCATTGTAGGGAATTTTTGGTGCAGACTTTTGGTAAATGTTAACTCTGTATTATTACTCATCAAACCAAATAGTGGAGATTTATGTATTTTTTTACGGATGATCTATTCATTATTGAACCAAAATGCTTTTGATATTTTGTGTTATAAATTTATAATGGTTTGTGGTTCATGAAATAGTAGTATTTTTTATGTTGAATAATATTCAAATTATAGATTGAGTGGTATTTTCATGTTGAATTAGTATTAATTTTTCTTTTTCTTTTTTTGGTTGTTTGTGGATAAAAATTAGCAAATAAATAAATAAATATAATTGTTGTATCCTTGTTGTGTCCATAATTTTTGTTTTTGAAAATTGTCATGTCTCATGTCAATGTCCGGGCCCATATCCATGTTGGTGCATCTTACTTACTAGTTCAAATGAACCCAAAGTTGGACACATTCATCAAACAATATGCATACCCAAGTCCATTCAACATGATACGTAGTCAAAATGAGCTGCAAACTCCTGTTTCTTTTTCCAATCAGATTTGGATTGTGTCCCATTATCCAGAAAACTACTGCCAGTTAAGTTTTTTTTTTTTAATTTTCAATTGATAATGCTGCCAGCTTAAAGTTGACCATTCACAAAACAAAACCAAAAAAAAATCAACAATACTCCGGCTTCATCTTCTAAAGCAAAACTGAACACCATGACTAAACTAATCCTATATTCTACTACAATATTATTTACATAGGTTCAATCACATTGAATAATGGTAAGAAAAATAAATCAACAGATCAGAACATATTGATATCGATGTAAAAAGATGTTATTTCGTGATCTGGCAAGAACAGTGAAAACCACATATAAAAAAAAAATGAAAAAGAAAGAATTCACATAAACAATAGCAAAAGAGATTAAATGTCACCTGCTTGTAATGCCGAACAGTTTTGCTATTCTTAGGTGTTGAAAAAAGCACCTTAGGAGTCCGATCAGCAACCATGAAGGGATCCTGTCCATATATCCTAAACATTGGACGGCAGCCTCCCTCTCCATCCATGTTAGGAATGAATCTAAGGATGATGCAATCCAATGTAAGCGCCCTATCCAATGGTGGCCACACCAAACCCACATTCCTTCTTGAGACATATTGTAGGTACCTCAATTGTGAAGGTAATGGATTAAGTGGCGAGATCAGCTGCAAAAGCTCACGAGGTGCTTGTCTATATATCATGTCCAGAGTTTTCTGTTCCCCTGTGAATTGCTTCCTATAAATCAATAGGGCAGCAAGCACGAAAGCCAAAACTGGCCATCCACCACACTCGCAATGCATTAAGAGTACATTATGCTGACAAAGTGAAAGCCAACTCTCACTTGATCTTAGAAAGTGATGGATCGTCTCCATGGTGAGTATTGGGCAACTTTCATACTGGCGAGGATACTCCATCACAGTCATGTCATACTCAGACAATACTTTAGCAATCTGGCTTTGATTCTCTCCCTCTCGGAAGTTAAATACCATGAATGAAGCATCAAGGGAGTATTCACGAAGATTGTCCACTATGCCACTCACGTAGACTTTGTATTCATTCTCTTCCAAAACATTAGTGGTAAAGCAGCAATCGAAGACTACACATTTACAAAGGAGCAAATGCAAACATATAAGTTCAACACATTTATAGGTGCTTTTACAGCACCAAGATGCAATAATTACTATATAATGCATATCATAATTCCTTTCTTTATGCAAGCAAGCTCATACACCAAAAATCAATGAAACTAACTAAAATGCGTCAATTCCATCTCCAAAGTATTAAATGCGAGTTAAAGTGGTCTCCACAATTGATGCCATCAGTATTCATCATACAGAAAAGGGGTATTTTTTAACAAAAAATTACACCTCAACAAAAAATAAGGAACATTTTGGCTTATCGATGATTTTGTCAAAGAAGGACTTTCATGAAAAGACACCATAAGAATGAATGAATCAAACCCACTTATTACACGCATTTGGAGACGATGAAAAACCATCAAGCAAAGACAACAAAGATGCCAACTCAAGAGTTTCTCGATCATTAAGATTTCTAATAAAATTGATTTTCCATGAATCGGTGCCAAACTAGAGTTGGATAGCTTGATATACATTGTTGGGTCCACTTATTAACAGCTTAGGCTTGGATGACTTAACATAGTATCAGACTCAGGTTAGAAGAGATCTTGGGTTTTTAGTCCCTGTTTGCATTCTTTCTTCTCGTGTTTGCATTATTTCCTTTCTCTATATATGGATCTCTGCATCTCCACGTGCAAGATGGGGTTGCACGTGAGGGAGGGTGTTGGATAGTTGGGCGCATTTCCTAGTAGCTTAAGCTTTTAGGACACTTGGTGACTTACGACTAGAGCAAGCTAAAGTAGCAATAGAAGCATCATAAGAACTAGCCACTTGATATAAATGTGGGAACGCCACATCAAAGGAAAAATCACCCAGATTTAACAATACTCTTAGGGGACAAAATTGACACAATTGAAACGTTGGAGACCAATGACACAAAATGCATACTTTAAGGACCACAAGTCTAATTAGCTCTAAATAAAAATATACAAGCATGCACACATGGACATGCCCTATACACGTGCAAATCAAGTCAAACGGGGATAGTTCCCTCAGCCCACCACCACTTGGCCACATGTGAGTGCACGCAAGTCTTCAAAGAACCCCTCCTAAGTTCAAATTTGAGCAATAAAAGAACTGGTGTGTTTAGATAATTACAATCACATTGTAATCTCAAAATATCCAAATTATTCCTCTGTTTTGGATGGCCTCCAAGACTCCAACAAAATTTCTTTCCCCTAGACTCATGTCTACGTATTTACCTTTTCTACAGCCTTGTACGGCCCAACAGCAACTGGACAAAATAACCAGCACCAAGAAATAAGGACAAAAAGGCTCAAAATATCTCCTCATAGAAGATGAAATCATTATCAAATACACTCAAGGCGTAAAAATATAAAAATTCGAATACAAGTGCCATTCGGATGGTTTATATTCAAATTATATGTATTGATGTACTCAGTCAAGGTTCGATGCATACCGTCACAAGAATGGTAAAAATCATTTAATAACTTATAAAAAAAAACAGTAACATTCATTAAAGGCAACTATGCTTATTATTCAAGATTCAACCTTGTTTATCATACTGAACGTAAGTATAATTGCCGTTATATGTGTGTATGCTGTTATAATTGCTATAGGTATGTATTTGTCTATGCTTTAATTATTTTACCATGTCTGAATAGTCTACTGTCAAAGTAACCCTACTCCATCACAGGTAGAGCACCCAATAAAGGTTTTGAACCAGAGGAGCAGTTGCATCTGAAGAGATTTTTATATTAAGAACACTAACATAATTAGATTCAATTATTTACCAATTTGAACATAATTAAATATGTTTTAGATCTGAGAAAACTTCCAAATTTTTAAGTTGATATTTGTGATGAGGTGAACTTACAAATTAGCAGGGTTTTTCATAACCGATTTAACCAAACATATCATCGATTGAGTTTTCATGGGAAGCAAAATCCACCTCACTGAATGCACACTAGTTTTGTTGATGCTTCCACAAAATCACATAAAATTCGTAAAGCAGTTTTTGGTCTTCCCCTAAAACATTTTAACTACACATTAACATTTCTTTTTTGTTTTCCCAAAAAAGAAATGTAGGTGGCCTCAAGGCAGTGTAGGCATTACATGAGCATTCCACGCTTATTCATTTCTTAATTCATGCATTATCCACCAGAGTCTTGTAAACTAGAAAAACACAACCCAAAAACACCAAGGCAAGATATTCAAAACACATCAAAACCCACGAATCTTCAAACTACAAAGGATCAAAATTTAATAAAAATTGTTCGATCAACACTTACCAAAAACCCTTTCAGAAATCTCCAGAAGCCCTTCAGGTGGCTTCCGGTAGAAAAATTTCCTAAACAACGCCATTGTTGCTGAGATCCAAAGCAGTCACCAGCAAGAACAAACCCTAGAAAAGCTCCAATACAACCCACATTGCTTCCAAACCCCTAGAAACGGTCCAATACAATCCTCATTGCTTCCAAAACCAAACCCATTTCAGCTCAAAAACAGAGGGTCCCAAAATCTCAACACAAACAAACATATATACACACGAAAGAACATGTATGTAACGTGTAATGATTGGATCACAGAAGAGAGTGTGGATTCAGGAACCACCTCAAGTGTGGATTTTGCTGGGGCTCTAAGGAACACTTTTTTTTTTTTTTTTTTGCAAAATTTCTTTTTTTTTTTTTTTCTTTTTCTTTCTTGAAAATGTCTTCACATTCACACTTAATCCCAGAGAGACTTGGCTTTCAATGGGGGAAACCAAAGCTATGGAGGAGAAAGAAAGTGGTGGGGGAAGAGGAGAGAGAAGATTGAAGGGTCAGATGTGGAATTTGTTGGGGAAATTGAGGAATAGTGGGAATATAGGAAGATCTCAGGCTTGTCTTGTTGGTCTCTGTTTTGTTGGTGTGTGTCTTGTGTATTGTTATTTGGTGATTTTTTTATTTTGTTTTTATTTTTTTGATTTTGGTGATAAGGTAATAACATAATGACAATGATGTCCGGTTGTTCCTTTCATTCTCATTCTCTTTCTCTCTCTAATCTCTCTCATCATCTCTGCTATGTTCCTTGTTTTTCTCTTTCTAAATTAGACTATATTCGGCACGTGTGTTCCCCCCTCAACAGAAAGTAACAAAAAATGTATTTCTATCCCTTGATTAAGGGATGTTTGGGATAGATTATTGGGGTGATTATTAACTTATTTTAATTTAAAAATTTATATTAAATTATTTGATGTAATTTCTATTTATAATTTTTTAGGTAAAATTAATTTAAATAAACTAAGAAAAATTGATTATTTGTGTGTTCCTTCCCCCTTCAAAAAGGTACTTCTCACCTTTGATTAAGGGGTGTTTGGTGTAGATTATAGGGATGATTATAACTTATTTTAATTTAAAATTTTGTATTAGACTGTTTGATATAACTTATGTTTATAGTTTTTAAGGCAAAAATAGCTTAAATAAGTTTAAAAAAATTGATTATTTAGAAGCTGAGGAATAAGTGCTATTGATTTCTGTTTTCTGATTATCAGTTTTTAACCTACAATAAGCTGTACCAAACAACATAAGATTGTTTAATCCAATTAATTTCGCTTTCAATTTTTATTAATTTATTATTTTGACTTTTGTTACGAAAATTAAAAAAGATAAATTAAATGGATCTCTTTGAGATTTAAAAATAAATTTTAAATTTTTTGAATAATTACATTAATTTTTTTAAGCTAAAAGAATTATAATAGATGTGAACAATGTAAGGATACAAATATAAACAATATAAAATATATATATATATATATATTTTATTTTTTTTAAAACAAATTAGCATGCAATTTGTGCTATGCACATGATTAAATAATAATTAATAAATTTATTTTTAAATTAATTTAAAAAAATTTAAAAATAAATAATATTAAGTAAGTTTTAACTTTTTTAACAAAAAGAGTATTTGAAATTAACTTTTCAAGTGATTTTTTGACTTTTTTAAGATATTAAGAATTCGTTTGGTAATGACTTTTTCAATTGAATTTTTGATTTTTTTAGCCTAAAACTTTTTTGTTTGTTTAGTTTTCTTATTTGGTTTTTTTTCACTTTTTTGCTTTGGAACGACAAACTTTTTTTTGTTGGCTTTTGATTTTTTTGACTTTTTTGACTTTTTTTTTTTTTTTTTTTTTTTTTTTTTTTTTTTTTTTTTTTTTTTTTTTTTTTTGTCCATATGCATTATTTAACCCAAAATGTTTACAAACCAGGGCTTGATGTATTTATGAATGGACTTTTTAATTGTATGGGAAACTACAAGTATTTTTGTTTATAACTTAAATTTTCAGTTTTGCCCTTCCAAAGATTTAAACACTTATGAACTCAGTCACAATAATTGTTTGTTCTTTTCAAAGTGGTATAAAGATTTTTGAACAAATTTTTTTTTTTTATTGTATATACCAAACACATTTTAGCACTCTTTAGTTTCTTAACTTTTTAATCAAAAAAATAACATCCCAAAAATGGCATGAGTTACACAAATTTTATTTTATTTTGTTTTTTGTTACTATTAATTTTTGTCTAAGTATTATATAACAAATAGATATATAATAATTCAATTGGTCAAGTATGCGTTCGGTCAAATATAATTACATTATCAAGTATAATTACAAATAATATTTTGGAGATTTTTTTTAGAGTCCATGATATTAAGATTTTATAACATAAATGACATCTAATATTTTCATAATGTCTAAGGTCCCTCAAATTGATCTAGAGAAAATTTGATCCAGAGAAATTCTCTGGACTTCACAGAGAAATTGACTCCCAAAATTTATCCAGACTTTTCAAAGAAATTCTCCAAAATCTAGAGAAATTCTCTCCAATTTCTAGCTCTCTACTCATCTCTCAAACCCACTTCATCTTCTTCACCATCCTCATCACAAACCTTCAACCTAATAATATTCAAATTTTAAGTTTCATTTCGCACATTTTCTCAACAACCAAACACTCAACTATCGATACAACGTCTAAAGAAATTTTTTCCAGAATTTCTCTGAACTCCCCAAACCTAGAGAAATTCTCTCCAAAATCAAAGAAAATCCATTTTCTAGCTCTCTACTCATCTCTCAGACCCACTTCATCTTCTTTACCATCTTCATCACAAACCTTCAACCTAATAATATTCAAATTTTAAGTTTCTTTCCATTTCATACGTTTTCTCAGCAACCAAACACACAACCACTGATACAAAATCTAGACAAATTCTTCTTAGAATTTCTTTGGAATCTCCAACCCAGAGAAATTCTCTCAAACCCAAAGAAATTCTCTCCAAAATCAGAGAAATTCCATTTTCTGTGATTTCTAACATCTCTCAGACCCACTTCATCATCTTCATCACAGACCTTCAGCCTAATAATATTCAAAATTTAAGTTTCTTTCCATTTCACACATTTTCTTAGCAACCAAACACGCAACCACTGATACAATAATCAACTAATCAGTAAAGCATAAAAAACCCAATTGCGTAATTTTCACAATGACCATTATCATCATCTAAAATAACACATAAATTCGTCAATCTTCATAGTTACATATACATATATATATATATATGTGTGTGTGTGTGTGTGTGTGTAATTTACCTAAAAATAGGGCAGAGGAGGGAGGAGGATTAGTGGACCCAAAGTTGGGGATCAAAGAAAATCGCTGCTAATTCACTCACTGGAAGAGTCATCGTCGGAGAAAGAACCCAACGGGTAGGTCTAGGCTTGATATAAGGCCAACCCGAACAAGACTCCGGCCTCTCAAACCCACTTCATTTTCTTCATCACATAGCTTTACTTCATCTACCTATGCAAAGAAAGATTACAACCGCTGGAGATGGAAGTTTCTAGTGAGAAGAGCAGAAATCGGAGATGAGCATGGGCATGGCGGTGGGAATGGGGACAATCTAGAAGATCAAGACTGTTGCTTTAGAGAAAGAGAGAGAGAAAAAAAAATGAGGTTTGATTTGAGAAATTTCTTTGTGATATATGAGTGTTGGGGTTGAGGGACCTTAGACATCATAAAATAATATTGTGGATTTCTTCCATTACTAAATATAGGAGAGAGACCTTAGACTAATTTTTCCTAAAATTTTATAACTCATTTTATTTTTACATTATCAAGTATAATTACATTTTATTATTTTATTTTATTTTAAAACAAATAAAATCTTTAAAATTACAAAAAATTATACTTTCAGTCAAGTATAATTACATTATCAACAAAATTCATAATTATAATTCATCTATCACAGTTTGTAAAGTGATATAACAATCTTATATTTTTTTTTGTCTCTCTGCCACTCATCTCCTATCTCTCTTTATTTTTAAGACGATGTAGCAAAAAATTGAAATCTAATATTTAAATATATTTCAATAAGTCCATTAGGAAAAATATTCTCATATTAGTAAAATTTGTCATTTGATAGAGTATGATAAATTTAAGTTGACCGTAAAATGTAAGGGCACTTTCAATTTTTTTTTAAATTTTATTAGATGATTGAGGTATCTAACCCATGTTAGATTGATGCCAATCAACACAAATTGAAGAATCACTAGACCAAGTTGTTTATGTACAAAAATTTTAAATTGGTAAACATAAATCATTAGTATTAAAAAAAAATCATAACAAAATGTACATATTTATGCATATTTAATAGTTCTAAAAAAATAAATTAAATGTAATATTTTTTTATAGTGTTGTTATTATGACTGTAATTTCACTTTAATTTAGACAATTGTAGATATTTTTATAATATTTTTAAATAAAATTAAACAAAAATCAATTCAAACGAAGTAGCACTTCAATTCAGACAAAATTAAATAGATATTTGTTTATGTAAATATTTTTTGAATTGATATTTTTAAACAAATCAACTGGAGATAAAAATATTAAAGTGAATTTATAAAAATATTTTTTAAAAAAACTATTGGATACTTTTGAAATAATGCTCTACACCAATTGTCAATTAACACATATCATAATATCACAAAATATTAAAAGTAAAAAATAAAAAAGAGTAGTGATATAAAAACATAAAACCAATACAAAAAAAAATATTAATAATGATTTGGTTGAATTTTGATCTATCACTTTATAATAAAAAGTCTATTGACATATTTTTTATTATACAAATGACATTATCACATCATTTTAGGGTAAAATTTAAATAAAAATTCTAATGAAATAATATTTTCCAACAATTTTTTATTATACAAGTGACATTATCACATCATTTTAGGGTAAAATTTAAATAAAAATTCTAATGAAATAATATTTTCCAACAAAAAAATTTATTATAAGTAAGAAAAAAACAAAAAACAAATAATGGTCAGAGTAGAGGGCCAAATGACACATGAAATGTGAAATGCAAAAACAAAAAATGGTCAGAAGTTAAAAAAAAAAATACTTGAAGATGAAAGAGTCTGTTTCAAGAATTCAAGAGACTAAATATTAACTAACCTTCAATTGTCTTATAAAGATAGAGAAAAATAATGAGGTATATCATTGCATGAATGTAATATTTATAAGACGAGGAAGATGTAAGTGACTTTGAAAAGATATAATGTATGACGGCTAAGGTCTTGAGGTAGGAAAAAAAATTAGTTAGAAAAAGGGTCCACAAAAAAGATCTTTTCC